GTGTGGGTCGTCTCTAGTGACTTGGATGCTCAAAATACTCTAGGGACATAGATCGGTTCATCCTAGTTTGGGCTTCTGAGCCCTACGTCTAGCAGTATAGTGTTCTTCATGTTAAGAATGTTTAATCTGGGGTTTACAACAAAGAAATCGAGAGAGTTTGGTAGGGGATTGCGCGGTGCTATCCTAGGGTTCCTGGCTATTGAGTCTACTTGAGCGGTCGAGGACCCGATCCCCTTCTAAGGAGCCCATGCCTCCCCTTATATCCTAAGGAGGACATGGGGTACAAGTCAGTTTTGGTTCTAGCCTAAGGATTCTCTACCGGATGCTTGCAGTTCCTTCGTCTTTGCACCGCCTGGTACTTCCCTGTTGTTTAGGAGGGGGCCAACAATGTCGCAACCACTCCCTGACGCTGCTACCATAGTCTGACGCTTGACCGTTAGGGGCTACCTACCGTGGTGCGGCCTCCCCTGGGGGAGGCTTCTCGAGGCTTCCTTGGCATGCAAGGTGCCGTTGGCCTAGCGCAGAAGACTCGAGGGGAACACAGCCAAACTTTGCTCATTTCAAATGACCCCATTTTGGCTTTCTTTGGGTTTTGGTCATTTGAGTGAGTTTTGCCTTTTTTCTTCTTCTTTAATCTATCTCTATGTGTTGGTGTGGACAATGCACTCATCAAGGGGGAGATTGCAAAACAAAGGTTGATATGTGTCCTTGTGTGTCAATTTATGATTAGTGATTGTCAGGAGATGATCAAGGCTTTGGTTGAGTTTGGAGACTAACCATCGCGTGAGTGTGTGTGCAACATATCTTTTGGATGTGTTGGTGTGTAGGTGTGGATCACAGAGATGGTTGATGGGCATAGAGAAGGGCAAGTAGAGACGTGCCGTGCCAATGGACTAGAAGCAGTGAAGGATGGACATGACGCTTGGACCGAGGGACCAAGATGACCAAAAGATTGACCGCGGGTGGCTGACACTTGGGTACATCGACGAGCAAGAGTACATGCGGAGGAGTAGACTGTGTTGACCAAGTCAAGACGATGGTTGACCAAGTCAAGTGGAGGCGCAAGAGGACTTGGTGATCGGTCGGTCAAGGATGATGGTGACACATGTCAAGATTACAGAGGAGTTGTAGCGGATATGCTTCTCCACGCAGTTTGGTGGTTTGGGCCTTGAAACCACCTGTTGACAGTTTTTCGAGTTTGTGCATCAAAACCCGGTTGGAATTCCAGCGGGAACGGGAGGAGGCACGTGGCATCTATGTGTAAGACCAGACCTTGTTGATCTTGGCAATAAAGCAATCATGTCCTCTGAATATCTTGTCCATGATCTTTCTTGAATCTCGTTTGTTTTGATTGGATTTGGTTTTTCTCCTCCCGGTTCCCCCTCTCTTGAGCTTTTGATGGATTTCAACTTACTATGGGTTTGAGGGTGATTTGAGTGGATGGATTCGTGCTAGAACCTCTAAGGAACATCTTTACAAAGTGGTTTGGGCACATTCCTCACGATCACTTAGATCCATCACTTTTATGAAATATTGTGAAAACCCTAACTCTTTTAATGGATTTTTCGATCTGCATTGATTCGTTGACTTCTGGGTGATGATCTTTGGGAAAAATCTTCTAAGCACCCAAGGGAACCTCTCTGCAAAATTTCAGATTTTATAGAGTACGTTTGAATTTGTTTCGAATTTTTCTTGGAGAGATTTTAGCTGAAATCTGCAAAAACCAGCCTAGGCCGGTTTTTCAACTTGCTCCGATTGAGCTCATTTTTTTGGAGATCTTCTCCTTGGTATTTTAAGGTCCCCCACCAAGGTCAAGTCTATTCAAATTCGTTTGATTGGTTATTGACGTTTTCTCCTTTTGGCTCAAATCTGAAAATCAGTCTGAGCCAGATTTGGAAACTGGCCTAGGCCAGTTTTTCAACCTTCTCCAATTGAGCTATTTTTGGTGAAGATGTTTTTCACAATGTTTTAAGCCTCTCCACAAAATTTCATGTCTTTTGGAGATCGTTTGGTTAGTGTTTTGTGTTTTGAGCACTTGGTTGGACGGTGTTGGGAAAAGAAAAATTGGATTAGGCTACCATATTCACCCCCCCCCCACTCTAGTCGCCTTGCTCGGTCCTTTGTATATACAAAATATAGTCAAGATAAGTCGTATACAAAATATGGTCAAGATAAGTTGTATTGGTTGAGAAATCGTTCCGTGATCAGCATACACAATACATACATAGCACAAGGGGAATGAGACCTCTTTCTTTATTTTTCTTGTAGTATACAATGTACATCTATGATTACAGGCCGGGGCCTCTCCCCATTCTTCTTATAGCCGAAGAGGCTGCTCGATATAAGAGCTCCTTTGACTTCTCCCATCGACTTTGCTCCTATCCTCTGCACGCCTCATGTACCTGGGTGAGCGCATGGTCATTTTTGTGACCACATGATTCGCCCACAAGTAATTTTTCACAACAGAATCCATAATGATGTCAAGTAATGTGGCGGGCGCCCTGGGGCGGACCCCAAAAGTCTATAGCCTTTGCGTGCTTTTCCAGTTTTAGAATATTAATTTTTAATGTACGCTCATTCACACATGGGTATTTAACGTTAGATTTATTTCCAAAAGTATCTTAGTTATCGACTTTGCTTCTATTAGTGCTTGATGTGTCTCTAAATTTGGTATTAGTTGTTATATGTTCACCCAGGCTCTAGCAATTCTCTAGGTCCGCCACTGGGTGTTCCTATAATACGCTGTGTTGTACCGAATTGAATTGCTTTGCTTCTCAGGAAACCTTTTACTCTAAAGAAATTCCTATTCACAATCACTGGAGACCTCATATTGGATAGATAAATGGTCTATCATTATGTATTAATATAAGTCAAGATATTCACATAAATGAAGTAAGCCTTTTATTAGAGGGTGTATAGTTGGCAAATATTTACAGTAGTTCCCTTATCTTATATGCGAATAACAATATGGTTTGGTCACTTGTAAGGTGGTTGTCATGTTGAAAGAATATGTCATGTATCTCAAATGATGAACCACTTATTTTGAAATGCAATTACAAGAAAATGTTGAGCACCATATATTTATTATAAATTTGTTATTGGGTAGGTATGCTGACTTGCTGAACGAGGATAATCACTATGGGATTGGGCACAGGCATTAGATCACTGCAAAGGATCCATGTGCAACCTCTCATAGACCGGATTGGGCACAGGCTACCCAAATGGAAAGGAAGATGGCTGAACAGAGCGGGACGCCTCACTCTTGTAACCTCTGTCCTCTCCTCCATGCCAACCTACCACCTGACAGTATTTCCTCTCACCGCTTGGGCTAAGAAGAAGATCGACAAAATCAGGAGATCTTTCTTGTGGAAGGGGGAGGAGAATGCAAATGGCGGGCACTGCCTAGTTAACTGGCAGACAGTTACCAAACTAAAAGACCTTGGCGGTTTAGGCGTCCCTGACCTGGAGAGATTTGGGAGAGCTCTCCGGTTGCGATGGCTTTGGCAAGAATGGGTGGACAATTCCAAGCCTTGGAGCGGCTCGGAGCTCCCATGTTCTGATGATGACCGCCTACTCTTCAACTCCTCAATCATTATATCTTTGGGAGATGGTGCAAAGACAGTTTTGGCACCACAGTTGGCTCGATGGACATGCTCCTAAGTATCTAGCCACGAACTTGTTCCGGCTAGTCTCAAGGACAAACCAAACGGTGCAAAAAAAGCTACGGAACAATAATTGGATGCATAAGCTAAGGAGGAAAATTACCTCGGCTACCCACATAGAGGAGTTTTGTATCCCTCTGGATACGAATACAAGATGTGCACCTACAGCAGGGCGTCCAGGACACCATCACTTGGCGTTGGACCAATGATGGGAATTTCTCCACCCGCTCGGCATACAGAATCCAATTCAGAGGTTTGCTACCCCCCTTCCGTATGGACTTGATTTGGAAAGCGCATGTGGAGAACAGATGCAAGATCTTCGCCTGGATCTTAGTGCAAGATAAAATTCTAACGGCTCATAACCTACAAAAGAGAGGGTGGCCGCACCAACAACAATGTGTCCTGTGCAACGATCCCTTAGAAACAAGCCTCCACTTATGCCTTGGTTGCCCTTTTGCCAAGGCGGTTTGGGGTCAAATCCTATCGTGGGAAAACTTCACTCAACTGCAACAGCACCTCCAGGTACACCCCACCCACATCAAGTCATGGTGGGAAGACGCGGCAGCGAAAGTGCCAAGATCTGAGCGTAGGCGACTGAACGGGGTAGTTATCTACACCTTCTGGAATATATGGAAGGAGAGAAATAGGAGAATTTTTGACAACTTGATAGAAACGGTGCCGCAAGTAGCCGCAAGGATAAAGGAAGACATACAACAAAGGAAGAGAGCTCTTGAGTACGTTTAGCTCACATGTGTATGGGGGGAAGGGGGGACGAAACCTTAATCTCGTTTGTCCTTGCTTGTACATAAACTTTCTTTCCCTATCTTAATTAAAAGGCAGAGCTCCTGTCATTGCGTTTAAAAAAAACTATGGGAAACTGAGCTATGGAGAATCGATCATGCAATCGGCACAATTTATTAGTGCACTGCTGCTAATTAATCTGCAATGCGTCATTTTCAGGACAAAATCGATCCTCCCAAAAATCGCAACTCTGATGAAGCCGCCCTTGTCCCAAAGGGCAAAGGCAGTGGACCACGAGCTGAAAGTCCAAACGAACAGGGCGCAACAACGTAGCTGGGCTCGAGCTTCGTGATTTGGGTGGCGTGGTAGGCGGCTACCGGCGGCCTTGGCAAGACAGCATGAGCATATGAGGTGTTGTTTGCCGGCCGCCGGCAGCGGTGGTGCGAGGATTCGAATCCAAACTGAGATCGAAACGGAACCAAGAGTCCAAATCTCCAAGAACATAAAGTGGGCTGGGCTGGCACCTAGAGAAAGAGGGCAGTACGGAACTATAGAGATCCCTCGGCGAGGTAGATATCGTCGTCTGCTCGAACCACCATGGGGCTACTGGCGCTGCAGCGGCTCGTGTCCCTACAGCGCAACCGGCAGCGGCGTCAACGGCAAACCCGAGCCCTGAGTAAGCCCCTTCCTAGCACTCCTTGGCATGTTACCTTGTGTGGCTGTTTCTTTCAGTTCACAGCCAAAAAAAAAAAAAATCTTTTTCCCTGTTGTACTCGCTAATTGATTCATTTTAAAATATGTTTCTTACCTGTTGTATCCACTAATTGATTCATCTTAAAAATACGTGAGCCAGCTACGAAACTTGTACTAGTCTGAGAGAATGATACGTGCCTTTGCTTTCTTTTAAGAAACAAAGGCGTGTGCTCAGTTAGCTAGTGCTCTGTCTCCTTAGACGCCTGTGTTTGCACCGATTTTTTTTTATTCATATTCAATTCTGGCATAGGCTAACCATCCTTGTTGGTCTGCAGATGGATCGTTTGATTCATCAATGGATAAAAGAAAGGGCTCACCCTGTCAACAAGATGCTCATGGTGATTCTCACGCCGCCAAAAGAATGATGTGTTCAATCCTAACCCTTCCCGAGGTACTCTGACATAAATTTTAGTGTCTGTTTGGTTGTGGCTGCAGCTAGCCACGCCGCGTTTTGGGCACACCGCAGGTCTGTTTGGTTGCCAACGCGGATCTGGCGTGTCCAATAATCTGCGGCGCTGTTTTTCTCCGCCACAAGTTAGGTGTGCGAGCGTGGTGCTATGTGGCGGGGACCATAATATCCCCATGTCGCTCTAGCCAGACAGATTATTTGCACTATGTTATCTTAATATATTATCTATATAAACAGAGAACAGAGTTCCTAGTTCTGCAATTGTCCAGTCTAGCACTCTGCCCAGCCCTCCTAAATTAGTACCTTGGCTTTGTTCAGCTCTGTTGGTCTGTTCTATTTCTTAGGTATACTCACACACCGACATAAATAGTGGGCTCTAAGCAAGCCCATGGGTTAATTACAATTTACAACATTAGGCAGCCCAACACTCCCCCGTGTGTGAGCTCTTCACTTTGCAGATTCTTGGCATATGTGCAATGTGTAATGCAATATACCATGTGCACTCATGTGGAGGATTACCTAGGGTAGAATATTACCTCCATGTTCTGCTGACTTTTATCCCATGTGTGTGCATGCAGGACATTTTGCACCATATATATTCCCTGTTGCCACTGCGTGATGCTGCTCGTGCTGCTTGCTCATCTCATGCCTTTCTACGTTTCTGGAGATGTCATCCCAATCTAACCTTAAACTGGCATATCCTTGGCTCAAATGCAAATGCATCTCAAGGGAATTTCAGCTGCATAATTGACAACATCCTGAGGAACCACTCAGGCATCAACATTAAGATACTCAAGCTTCAGTTATATGGCATTTATGATGCCTACCAGTATCTGGACAGTTGGCTTCAGGTTGCTGTTAAACCTGGGATTGAAGAACTCACCATTGAGCTATGTTATAGACTTACCGTCGGGGTCCGCCGACCCCGACGACTTGGCCACGGCGTCATGTATCCTACGATATTTTACAGGTCTAGACCCCGGCAAATAATACGTTTTGACCCCGGCGGCCGGCACAAAGCAGGTGGCAGGCTGGCTAATTTAGCTGATATGATAAGTGCCCAACAGCCCACTATGCTAGTCGCAAGGTCCAACAAGGGCAAGCAGCAAGCCCACTAGGTAATAGCCCAATTTATTAGCGTGCAGCATCAGGTTGACACTAATCTACGGTTCCTCTCCCTGACTCGCGTCATGAGTCAGGGCGCCAGCAACGTCTCGCGACTCGCGTCATGAGTGGAAGCACACCGCCCATCGCCTCATCCTGGCGGCTTAGCGGCGACTGCGACGGTGAGGAGAGGAGGTTCTCGATTTCTCGTCTCCTCTAACAAGCACCTAGATGAGGTAATCCCAAAGGCCCAAATCCCAATTTTGCAATTAGAATTGATGACTAAGCGGATCCGTTTTGTAGACTTTATAGAGTTCACAAATCCCCAATATATTGCCGCTTTTCAATCTTAAAAATTCTTTTGAGGGTTTCAAAATTAGTTTAGAGCTTAGTAGAGTTGGCTATGTCGTACTTATTGATTTCAATTTAACAGAATTAAAAAATCATAGTCATGAAAATAATATTTATATTGGTAATGTTCGATCTTATATAATATATCCACGGTATTATATTATTACTTTTAACTAATATACTCTCTCCGTTCCAAATTATAAGTCGTTTTGACTTTTTTGGTTCATCCATCTTGCTATGTATTTAGACATATTATTATATCCAGATACATAGAAAAATTGATGTAAAAAGTCAAAATGACTTATAATTTGGAATTGAGAGAGTATTATTTATAGTGTTATTATTACAAGCTAAAAGTTAGTATTGTGTGTTTTGATCGACCCCGGTGATATTTTATCTGGCTTCGCCACTGGTTATAGAGTTGACATGAAGCATAATGTCCCATGCACACTTTTAACTGATGGTGTCCAAAACTCAATCCGGTATCTTCAACTTTCCTGCTGCGCCTTCCATCCCACACCTGAACTTGGCCCCTTCAGAAACATAAAAAGTCTGCTCCTGCGTTCCGTGCATATTTTGGATAAAGAGTTAGAGTGCTTTCTTTCCAACTCCCATGCTTTGGAGAAGTTAGACCTCAATGATTGCGAGAAGATAACGTGCCTGAAGATACTGTCATACGTCTAATGGAGCCTACATGCCCATCTGGCCCAGCTGGTCCGGGTGCCAGCAGCAGCGGCGCCGCCGCCACCACACAGGGCAGCAGCAACGCCGACGCCTAGGGGAGGCGCACAAGCGAGGGCGGATCCCCCGTTGCTCCACTATCCATATCCGGAGGATCTCCAATAGGAATAGGATTAGTTAAGATAGGAATGAGTCTATATCTATAAGGACTTCCCTCATTAGATACAAGTTTACCCAGGACTATAAGTAGAGGGGCTATGTAATCATGGGAATCAAGAAAGGATTGCCTCAAGGCCTATCTCTCCTTTCCCTTCCTCTCCCTGCGCCGACCTCCCCCTCTCCCTCTGCCCTAGCCGCCGCCGCCCCTCTCCCTGCCCGTCGCCCCTACCTCCCTCTGCCCTAGCCGCCATCACCCAAGAGCCCCCTCTCTGCCGGGCTCTTACACCTGGTATCTAGAGACCAGACGATCCATAGACTCCACCACCACCACCATGCAGCAGCTGATCGAGACCCTCGCTGCCGATCTCCTCAAGAACTTCGGCGAGATGCACCGTCAACTCGTCAACCTCGACAATCGTCTGCATGCTATCGAGCGCGCACGTACCCCTGGCGACGCCACCATGACCGGCATCCAGGCCAGACGGGATTGGGAAGCCGCCATCGACGACCTCGCCGCGGAAACCAAGCGCGTCATGCTCGCCGCTGGCAAGTTGTACCTCAAACACAAGATGGATGCACCCCAGTCCTCCAACACTCCGGAGATCATCCTGGCTGTGTTAGACAGCCTGCTTTCGGCTCCACCTCCGCCACCACAACCACCAATGGCGCCGCTGTTTCCACCATGAGAGGAACCCCCAGTCATCCGTGCGGCTGTCCACCAAGCCATGGATGACAACCATTCAGAGCCTGCACCACCACCAACCGCGCCTACGCCAGCAACACACCACTGACGACAGGCTGGCCACCAACCGTTGGGCATCAGCCAGCAGGAGCCGCCGCCGCATACGCCACCGGCGGCAACACCACCAACAGTTCAGCATCAACCACCGACCATGCACGCAGCCAGCCGACTCCTAGCTAGCCCGGTAGCCGAATAGCACCTCAGGGCGCCATCACAGTGACAGCTGGCCACTTGGCTGCCGGTACGGAGGGGTGATGCCCCCCGATCACCGCTGCCTCCGATGACACCAACGACGACGAAACCACCATGACGACATGTCCCAGTCAAGACCCAGCTAACGACGCCAATGTACGACGGCTTGACGGATCCGAGGCCATTGCTTTCCCGCATGCAGCAAATCTCCAACCTATATCGTCTGCCGGAAGCACAACAGACCTGGTACGTGGCCTTTCATCTTATAGGTGAAGCACACCGGTGGTAGATGCGCGCAACGAAGGATACACCCATGACAGAGTGGGCATACTTCACCGAGAGCATCATCCGCAACTTCGGCCCCGACCGCAACACCACCACCGACCTCACACCTCCCTGTCGTACCAACTACGTGAATGATTAGATCGACAACTTCATCGCCTACGCTCTGCGCACCGACATCTCCAGCGAACAACATCAAGTCAGCCTCTTTGTCAACAGCTTTCAGCATGCACTCCGAGAAGTGGTTGTGCGGCACCACCCTCGCTCCATGGAGATAGCCATCGACCTCACCCGTACCCGGGAGGTGGAGGCCCCGGCGCCTACGGCCACCAAGACGAGACGCTCAACTCTGACTAAAGGCGACCGCCCCGACATCAAACCACAAGGAAACATCGACAGCTCCAATATCGGATCAGTTGCAGATCCACTACACCCACCTTCAGCGGAAGCTGCAACATCGATAGGCACCCCAGCCCGCATCCCTTCAGTCGACACCAACACCAGAGCGGCTACCTGTGTTGAGCCAAATCCGGAGATCCACGCTCAACACCGCATTGCCGCATCAGACAAGAGTGAACTCCAGATCATCTCTACCACCATTGAAGTTCAGGAGGCGAAATCAACCTAGTCCCTCCAACATGGGATCATCCGCTACAATGAACGATACTACATCCCGGTAACTTCACCTCTGTTACAGGACTTGCTCGAGTCGTTTGGAACCTTAGCTCCGCACCTCCTGGCGATTGGCCTTCACACAGCGACATCTTCACCAACAACACAAGCTTTCCCCTCAAGTATTCTACTCCTTGAGGCATGGCCACAACGCACACTCCCATCAGCAACGATTGTCCTCATCAACAACAATGGCCAACAGTTCCTCTCCATCGACGACACCTACATCTGCAGGCAGCACGCCGACGGCCCTCTACTGATCTCTCCGGCAAACGACAACACCGGCGATCTCCTCTTCGACACGCTACAACACTTCACCATGACACCATCGACCATCATCGCTACAGCGTTATGCCGGCGCATAAGGGGTCAAGTCGATGCCGGACAGGTGCACTCACTTCCATGACCTCCACGGGTGATGTAGACACTACACTTTCTAGGAACGCTTCCTGGCGGCGCCATCTACGTAGCCCGTTGCATCCATGAACCACTGGATGGCTCGGGAACCAACAACTACTACATCTCCAGCTACTTCGGCTCCTGCAGCTACTACTTCAAATTCGCCGACTACCACATCAGCACCAACCCCTTCAACGACACCTTGGGCCACTTCACCGATCATATTGCGGAGCTACCAGCAGACATCAACCCACCACCAAAGCCTGTCAAAGACTGGACAATGATTCAGCACGAGGACGCGCTGATTGGAGAAGGGAGGAGTGATGTCATATGTCTAATGGGGCCTACAGGCCCATCTGGCCCAGTTGGTCCGGGCGCCAGCAGCGGCGGCACCGCCGCCACCGCACGAGGCAGCAGCAACGCCGACGTCTAGGGGAGGTGCACAAGCGAGGGCGGATCCCCCGCCACTCCACTATCCGGAGGATCTCCAATAGGAATAGGATTAGTTAAGATAGGAAGGAGTCCATATGTATAAGGACTTCCCTCATTAGATACAAGTCTACCCAGGACTACAAGTAGATGGGCTATGTAATTATGGGAATCAAGAAAGAATTGCCTCAAGGCCTATCTCTCCTTCCCCTTCCTCTCCCTGCGCCGACCTCCCCCGCTCCCTCTGCCCTAGCTGCTGCCGCCCCCCTCCCTGCCCGTCGCCCCTACCTCCCTCTGCCCTAGCCGCCGCCACCTAGGAGCCCCCTCCCTGCTGGGCTCTTACAGATACCTTGCGTCCTGCTGCAGCTCCATAGCCTGAAGGTTTCTTGTTGCGTGACGCTGCGAGTGATAGAGAGCAAAGCTCGAAATCTCTCTTGTTTTATATCCTTAAAGGAGGGAGTGTAAAAGTCTCACTTGGAGAAACACTGCAAATGAAGAACCTGTGCATGGGCCGTTCCAACCTCGTCTGTTACGCCCGTGTTAAATTTTCATCCAGTATGCCAAACCTCAAGACTCTTTCCATCTGCTCACATTATGAGGTACACATTTCCTAAAACATTAGTTTTTGTAGACTAGGGGATGTATATATGAATATAAATGTAGTCATACTTTTTTTTTGTATATCTAATCTGAAACATCTTTATCTTGAGGGTTAATACACCAATGCTTCGTACCAAATTCCTATTCCTCAAGTGGCTGTCTATTTATCTGAGATTGACCTCTTGCCCATCCTATGACTATTTTTCTCTGGTTTCTTTCCTTGACGCTTCTCCCTCCTTGGAGACTTGGTTGTTGGATGTAAGACGTGGTTCATTCCATCCTGCAAAATATTTAGTAACTGTTGGATCCATTTTGACTCTATTTTATTTATGATGTCTTTTCCACCCCACACAGGTAGCCGAGGAAAGTATGCAGGATGAATCAATTTTCGGAGGCGGCTCCTTGCAGTTGAGGCAGATGCCTGAGCAGCACCATGGCCGCCTTAAGACTGTGAGGTTCAAAGGCTTCAACTCAGCCAAGAGCTTGGTTGAGCTAACGTATTATATTCTCAGGAACGCAAAGTCACTTGGCCGGCTCACACTGGATACCACTTATGGTGATCCTAAGTGTGATAGCGCAATGTCTGGTGGCAGGTGCACTCCCATGAGTAAGGATTTTCTCATGGAAGCGCGTAGAGGGGTTGCGGCAATTAGAACGTACATTGAAGATGAAGTTCCATCTACTGTTAGGCTGACGGTGGTTGAGCACTGTACTCGGTGCCATGCTGACAACTTATCTGAATAGGTCAGATTAGAATTGGATGAAGCTTGCTTTTTTTTTTCTTGGATTGGGTTGCAAGGACTGTTCAATGTTTATCACAGAATCAGAGCAGGTGTGTAATATTTGTAGGCATGGATAGACCATGCTTTGTATCTTGTCTTATTGGACCCGCACCCCTTCAATTCAGCCCTTGTTTAGTTCGTGAAATTTAGATTTTGGGTCTACTGTAGCACCTTCGTTTTTATTTGGCAAATAGTGTTCAAACATGGACTAATTAGGCTCAAAACGTTCGTCTCGCAATTTTCCACCAAACTGTGCAATTAGTTTTTCTTTTCGTCTACATTTAATGCTCCATGCACGGGCCGTAAACATTCGATGTGACAGGTACTGTAGCAACTTTTTGAAAGTTGGGGTGGAACTAAACAAGGCGTCAGATCAGTGTCGCTTTTCTTTGGCATATCTGTCATATACGTGGATTTTTGTTTGTGGATGGAGATGAGCTGGATTCGTTTGTGGTAATGTACGTTCTCAATCTCTCTTTTCTTTTTGAAAACGCAGCTAGCGCCCAGGCGTCTGCACGCCGGCGTCCGTCCGGACACCTGCGGCTGCTCCGCTCCGTCCACTCGGATTCCCGTGTCACTCGTGCTGGCTCCGTTTCCCGCGCTCGCATCCGAACTGTCCGCTTCAGATCCGCTGCCCCCGCTGTTCGGATGACTCGCCCCCGCCTCTTCCACACCGGCACGGCGCCCGTCTCTTCCAGGCCGCCAGGAAGACTCGCCCCGCCTCTTCCACAACAGCACCGTGCGGCCTGTGCCTCCTCCCCACACCGCCGCTTGACGACCTGCGCTTCTTCGCCTCCTCCCCACACCGCCGCTTGACGACCTGCGCCTCTTCCACGCGTCGGTGGCTGCGGCTTGGCCCTGCCCTCCCTCATGGGCAGCAACACCGGCGGTCTGCACTTGCAACATGAAACACTCGAATGCAACATACATTTAAAACAGATGAAACATTTGGGACATACGCTTTGCAACATGTGTGTGAAACATATGCAACATCTAGATAAAACAATTGCAACATGAAAAAACACTTACTGCAACATAAGACTGAAAGAGCTGAAACATTTGAAACATGTTGTTGTAACATATGTGTGAAAACATATGCAACATCTAGATAAAAAACGATTGCAACATACGTTTGGAAACAGATGAAATATTTTGAACAAACGCTTGCAACATGCTTCTAAAATACTTGCAACATATCCAACATTTCCTGATCTACTTTTGCAACATCCATAAGAAACAATTGCAACATTCCTTTGAAACGACTGAAACAACAGAAACATACATTTATAACATAGGGGAGGGGAAGCCTGGGCCGGTCGATTCCAGCCATTGGGGTCGGGAGCCGGCGGCGAGCGACGGCCCACGAGCACCCGCCACCAATGCCACCAGTACCGGGCTTGGCTCGGTGATGGTGGGGTATGGGGGGCGAGGAGCTGAGCGCCACGGCTGCCGGGGTAGGGGGAGCTCGGTCACCGAGGTGAGAGAGGGCGCCGTCGGGGGTGGGGAGGACGCTGCGCCGGGGTGGAGGAGAGCCGCCCACTCCTTTGCAACACGGTCGCGCCACCTCCATGGATCTCGCCGAAGGCGAGTGGATCTCGCTCCTGCTCCATGGATCTCGCCAGAGGTAGGGGAGAGGGCCACCGGATCTGCGGGCGTTGGGGGTTCCTGGTGGGGAAGGACGCCGGGCGTTGTTGCGCTGCGGCAGGGGATGAGGAGTGTGGAAGGGGTAAGGGCGGGAGCAGAGCGACGCGTGCGGGAGTTGATTTTGTTTTTTTAGAGAAGCAGCGCATGCGGCAGTGAGTGGAGCAAGGCGGCCGGCCTTTGGGACGTCTTAATGGTAGTATTACCGTATTGAAAAGGAAGCGGAAAAACAACTAGAAATACTCTGATACATGTTTCTCTATTATCTACACATGCCATTATTAAACAACTATCCTCCACAGCCCGCTAGGTAAAAGCTAATAAAAATACACATATACCGTATTTCTCTACTCATGCATGCCATTATTAGAGTAAGTCAAGCCAACCATCTCATGCACTTAAGTATTTAAAGTTAACTTAGAAAATATTCATAGTTGCAATTTATTTATTTATTTTGTGTCAAACATAGTGGAAAAATGAAAAATATATAGCTCAACAAATGTTTAAAAATAAAGATAAAAAAGCTTGTTAATCAGAAGGGTTTGAAGCATTGCGAGGTATGGTTCCAGGATTGCCACCACACCCACAGGTTTGGGAACCAGCATGCACATCAATATTGTTCGATTCGCTGAAAAGCCAGGCTAAAAATACTGTTCGCTGATTTGTCGTGAGAGAAAAACACTGTACCATAGCTACATGTAAATTTTTAGTACCAAAGTAATTATTCCAGGCACATACAGGAAAACGGTAGCACAATTGTTCAGAGAACGGATACAATTAGTGTGAAAACAACACTCCAATATATATGTTCCATAAAAAATTGCGAGAAATGAAACAAAGCAAAGCACATACATACATTGGTACATGTGACAACTAGAGATACACTAGTGTCCTGTGACGGAGCAAGGAATAGTGCAAAGGGTTTACCGGTCACAAGTTGCTGGCTACATCTCTGACCAAGTCTTCTCAATTTCAAAAAAGAGGGGCTTGACGGTCTTCCTGAGCCCGAAATCAGTCCCAGCGAAGAGCATGCAGCTTTCAAGTTCAGACATGGTTTTCGAAGCTTCCGAAAGTGAACTCTTAAATCCCTTGTTTCTGAAGATTTCCACATACTGTTCGCACAGCATCACTGATTTAGCAATCTGACCGCAAAGCTTCACAATTCTCAGACAATCTGCTGTTGCATGACGGTTGTCGTCTATTACGGTCTTGAGCTTTTCCACGAATGCTTCACGTCGTTGCTCCTCACTTCCTGCATTGTTCTCATTCTGAACGGCAATCTGAATTGCACCATCCAAATCTGCGCTGTCCAGCTTATCACATATGACCTGTGCAAGGGACAAAAACGCTCCTTGCTCCTCTCTTTCTTGATCAGAAATTTCCTCTGTTTCTGTGTGGTCGCCGTCTGTAGAAATGCTTTGCCTTTCTTCATTATTTGTGGATACAGAATTTCCCTGGTTCTCCTCGTCTCCTAATGCAGCAGGATTGTTCTCGCCCGCTGAAATTTTTCTTTGTTGCGATTTTGTTTTAATTGACATTACTTTTCCGAGGACCTGCAATGACAAAGTTACTTATTAGTTCTCTCTGTTTTTCTTTTGTAATGGCTTCTTAGTGCATTAGCATTTTCTGGGTGCCAAGCCCAGAACAGTGTTTTTTTTCTTGAAACGAAGTCTCCTGTAAAATGAATGGGAATGGAATTCAAATCAATGCGCACATGGTGCTTGTAATTAAATGAGAAGAGAAAAAAAAAGAGCTTTTATGTTAACAACTTAACATGCTTCAAAGTATACTTATTATTTTCAGAAAAATTAAAACGAAAGTGTTGTGCTACTGATGTATTTTGATTAGATTAATATATTTGCACACTAAAAATCTATAATATACTTGCACACTCACCTTTGGCAGTATTTCCTTCATAGTACTGTCCACATTACAGTGAGCATACAGGTTCGCCATTATCTCTGCTGCTATTGTTCTCCGTGTGATGTTGTATCCATCAAGTATTCCAGTGAGACAACCAATAATGCCGTCTTGTGTGGTCATGATGAGGGCAGAGTTACTTTCCCTGTTAGCTGACAGGGATACCAGTGTCCTCCCAGCCATGGCGGCACCATCTCCATTAGCAAGGAAGAAGAGCTGCAGCTGCTTTGTGACGAGCACCTCTTTTATTTCCTCGGTGAGGTTGATAGACAAATCCAGTGCCAGTTCTGTGAGGATCTCCATGGCTACCAGCTTCAGTTCTTGGTGATGAGCTTCATTGTTTCCCAGTTCAAGAATGCTCTTTAGGTTGCTCAGTGCCTGAACATTATTTGAGAAGATTTCATGGCTGCCGTCTGGAGCGCGGATGAGCTGGTACAGCACCTTGAGGCATCTGGTTACAATGTCAGCCCATGCCTTATTTTTGACAGCTTCAATTAAGGTCGCTGAGTAGACGGGTGCCGTGATCTTGGGAAGGAGGCCGGGAGTGCTGCATATGATCCTGCGGTTGTCGTCGTTGTTGGACGCCAGCCTCTCGAGGATGGTCAAGCCTTGCTGAACCAGCTGGTTGCTTCTACCTCCTTCCCTCTTGTTCCGATGACGGTATTCTCTTATCGCCATTCTCTGCTGGTCCATCATCAGTTTCCTGCGCTCCAGCCAGTCTGGTCCTATGTCTTCGTCTTGCTGATGCAGGGGCGGGTCATCAGGGACAGGGTCTTGGAACAGGGAGGATATGCACCGCATGGCCCCAGGGTAATTGGATAGATCATCTATGTGGGCAGCAACATCGGCTACGATCGTCGCCGCGAGCTCTCTAATCTCCTTTTTATCTTCTAGGCTGCCGGTCACTGCATAGCATCTACCGCGGCAGAATTGAACACAGGCTTCATCTAGGCGGCGGCGGCTGCTGCTGCTGCTTATCATAAGTGAGTCTATCAGTCTCTGAATCCTGTGTCTCGAGGGAAGCAGCACCCAGCTCACATCTTCCCCCTTGTTAACGAAGGCGCTGAGTAGCCTTGCACCATACAGGTAGTCCTCCTGGGATTCAGAATCCAGCAACTCAGCGCCGTACTTGATCAGGTCCATGCCCTTGATGGATAGAGGATCCTTCCTGCATTTCGCGCTGATATCAGAAATGTACCTGCCGATGGCATCCTCGCCCCACTTCTCTGACAGTTGCTCCAGTGATTGGAGGCGTCTGACCACATTTGCCTCGTAGATGTACATAGGTAGTAGCAATACCAAGAACATGGCGCCTTGGAAAATAATAAGTGAATAGAATATGTTCAGTGTTGCCATCATGTCTGCCATGCTGTCAGTCCCATCCATGTGATAACCGTGATTCAGCTTCGCTATGCGCCATGACGAGATCCCTGCACAGGCCAATGGCCCGAGCACGTAGAACAGCCAGACGCACAAAAACAGGGCCGTCAATGGCCATAGCGATACTATTAGTACTACTAGTAGTGCAGGAATACGAGCGATAAGGAAGTCCCCGGCACTGAATAGTATTATCCAAAATTCCACAAAATATTGTAGATTGGCCTCCCAGTCCTGGAAAATCCTGCGGGCAACAAGCATGCATGGTCCGTCAGTGTCCTACCCATCTCATGTGCGCCCCTCCCAAAGTTATTAGTGAAAGAGTTCATTACTTTAGTCATTGCAACTTCGCAATACATGCATGTCCCCCTTGTTCCTTTCTCCGCCCCCCCTCCCTCCTCTCTTTTTTTTCTTTGTTAGCTACCGGTTTTGGTCAGCGTGTTTAGGTGACACTATATTTTTTTTAAGACTTCACCGGAGGGGGGAGAGCCCCACCTGAATGATTTTTCATAGATTCCGGCAAGCCGGTAAATGAAGGGTGCCAGGCACCTAGAGTTTACATGGTCTTAATCGTACAGGGCATTAATTCATGACAAATAAATTACACCAATGATCAGCAATGGAACGGTCTTGGGAACGAAGGCGGCTGCTCCATAGGCGACATGTTTCCCTGCATTTGCAGACTGAGGCGGCTCGACGGGGTTGCTTGATGGCGAAAAGACGACGTCGTGGCGATGGTTCCAAATCTGCCAAAGAACACAGTGAGTATAATCATCAGGAAGTGCTTAGCGGGATATGTGGTGGCCGTGGCATCTCCCATAGGTGAGTTGGCTCGGAAGGTTGACCCCGATCTAGCCAATATGATTCCAGAAAGCCGAAGGAACCAGGCAGCGAAAGATGAGGTGATCGGCAGTCTCTGCCGCATTACCACAGAGTTGGCAAATGTCGTCGTCGAGGACATGCTTGAGGTGGAGGTTTAACTTGACCTTTGTATGCGGTTGTTTACCAATAACTTGGCCGAAAAAAACGTACTGGGGGGCGCCGGTTTCTCCAAACGAAGCTAGAGAAATTGCACGGGAGCCCATGGTCTTGGATGCTCGATACGGGTGAAGCATGGAGAGTTCCCAGCTGGCGGCAAATTTGGAATATCTCTGTCCGGAGCTTGTGTTAAAGTGATGTTCTTTGATCATTTCATTGAGGGCATGCGGCTCTTCACTTGCTTGGGGTGACAGCACTGAGACCAACATCGGTTGCAAACCGATGGTGAGGACCTCGGAGGCGAGAGGCATCCGGCTTCGTGCGATGGGAGAAAAGGCGGGGGAAGACGAGAGCGAGAGGCGAACCATCAAACCAAGAGTCATGCGGAAGGACGTAGTCCGCCCGTCGCCCACTGCACCTTGGTGATACACTTTGGTAGTTGGTAGCAAGGATCCGAGGGCCGACCGGTGTCCGCCATCACCATGGTCGGACATGTTGAGGATGTCTTTGTGCTCTCGACCCAAGCAGCCCAAGTCGCTGTTCGGGATGGTGAAGACGGTGGAGAAGCTTCAAAAGGAGGCAAGCATTTTGAGTGGCAAGGTCCTTTACCCCGAGGCCTCCTTCCAAGGAAGGCCACTAAACATCGTCCCACTTGACCAGGCATTTTGCACCGGATGTCTTATCTTTGCCGGACCAAAGGAAAGCTCGCCGTCTGCTATCAATGGCCGAGATGATTCCCGGGGGCAGCGTGAGAGCCTGCATCATATAGGTGGCCAGACCGTCTAGAAGTGAGTTGATGAGAACAAGTCTGCTTTGGTGGTTGAGCAGTGTGACTGCCACCACCAGAGAGCCGCCGGTCGACCTTGGAGATCAAGGCGCGAAGGTGGCGAGGTTAAGCTTGACATTTGAGAGTGGTAAGCCAAGGTACACCTGAGGAAAGCTTGCTTTGTCGGGCTTTGGAGGAGGGACGATCCGTTCCAAGCGGTCTTCTTGATGCGTGCATAGGCACAAGCGTGCTCTTGGAGTAATTGATCTTGAGACCCGATGGCCATGGCAAAGCTATCCAAAGTAACTTTGAGTCTCCGGATGTCTACTATTTCCACTCGCACCAGTAGGAGGGTGTCATCGGCGTACTGCAACACTGGGCAGGGGCCATCTACAGTAGGGTGTCTGATGTTGGAATGCTTAATGAGTCGTTGAAGAACATCAGCTACCAACACGAACAGATACGGTGAAAGAGCATCCCCTGTCTCAAACCTCTCTTGCAGGTAATCCAATTCCCCGGGCAGCCATTGATCAAAACAGTTGAGTGAGATGAAGAGAACAACATTTGCATCCATTGTAGCCATCTATCTGGGAAAGCTCTGGCAGCCAGGATTTTTATAGTACTGTCCCATGAGACAGAGTCAAAAGCTTTTGCAAAGTCTAACTTGAGTACCACTGTCGGGATTTTGTTGCGGTGGCAGTGCTGAACTAGTTCGGTGGCATACACAAAGTTTTCTGAGATGGAACAACCCCTAATAAAACCAGTCTGGTCGATATCAATGAGTTTCTGGATGTGTCTCTGCAGCCTTGTTGTGAGAATTTTGGTAATAATCTTGACTGGGCAGTTTTGTAGAGATACTGGCCGGAAATCTTTTGGTGAAGAGGCACCTAGGCACTTAGGCACGCTCTATTGATACGGTGGAGGTCAGTGTAATTATAGAAGCCGAAGAGAAATGCCATTATGTCATCCTTAATTGAGGACCATGTAGAAGAGTACCAAGCAGGACCAAAACCATACGGTGGAGGTGACACTATATGATTTATTTTATATAAATAAAATGCCGTACCAGTTGCCTCAACCTAGATTACACGGCCTATTCTCTTCCTAAGAAGTTACCACCAGGGGCTTGTTTGATACACTAGCTGTGTTAAGCTATTCTAACCCAGCTAAAAGTCAGCTCAAATTTAGCTGAGTCTATTAGCTGGAGCATCCAAACATCCCAGCTAAAGTTTAAGCTGGAAAACTTTTAACTGACTAAAGTTTTATTTTGAAATTTTAGATAGCTAAACTTTAGTTGGGTGCATCCAATCAGTCCCTAAGTTAGGGATACCTAGACGCAGGTAACATTATGGAAGCGAGTCAAGCGATTCATTCGGCCTCACCAACTCTGGACGGGAATCTTTTTTCAAAAGTCAACTCTGGATGCAAATGGAGTTGTTCAAGAACTGCAAGAACAATTGTAACACCCTAAAAATTTGAATTTTTAGAAATAGAGCTAAAATGATTTAATTTAGAATTTATGTGCTCATAAAAATATAGGAAAATAAAAATTTTCATTAATTTAAAATTTATTATAAGGAGTATCAAACATGGATGTGTATACATGTCGGTGCATTTGATTCATTGCAATGAGTGGTTGAATCCAAAATGCAAAATGAATTCAAAATGCTTTTGAAATTGGCTTTGAAATAAACGAAAAGAAAAATTGAAAATAAAAGAATTTAAAAAGTTGTAAAATTTATTTTTGGAAAACTTACCAAAAATTTCTCATTTTTATTTGAATGAAAAGTATATTTCAAACCCTATTTGAATTTGATTTGGTTCATAATTGAATTTGGTTTTGAAAATAAAATAGAAAAGGATTTGAAAAATGGAAAATCCTTCCCCCACTCAATCTGGCCCGTGGCCTACTCCCTCTTGGCTTGCCTCCCCTCCGCAGCCCGAAGGCCGCTCGGCCTTCCTTTCCTTCGCGTGGCCCAGCTCCACCTGCCCTTCCTCCCGCTTTCTCCCTGTCGAGCCGGCCCAGCAGCAAGCGGCCTAGCGAAGCCGCGCCGTGCTCCTCTCTCCCGCGCCTCCTCTGCCGTTGACTTGTGGGACCCGCTTGTCAGCGTCCTCGCCGTCTTCTTCCTCGCGACATGCCCGAGACGGACTCTCACCGCCGCCGTCGGAGTCTGCTCCACCCCCACCTCGCTGCCTTGCCGGGCGCCCCACGCCTTCCCCGACCTTAAATACCAATTGCCCACACCGTGTCACCTCCTATCCTAAGCCTCGGAGCCACAGCCGCCTCACACGAGACACCGTGCCACAGCTAACCCTAAGCACTGCCGCCGCCGTTGGTTCGTTCACTCCCCGTCGCTGAAATCTATCTCGGTGAGTTTGTTGTGTCTTCCTCTTTCTCCCCGTGCTTTATTTTTGACCGATGATGTCCGGAACGTCGAGAACGACGAACACCGGCGAGGTCCTCTGCTCTCCGGCCATGGCGCGCCGCCATGCCAGAGCGCTGCCCCAGCGACCATCTCTCCCCGTAAGCCCGCAGCCATCCATCTCTCCACCGATGGCTCGGATTAGATCCTTGTGTACCGGTTCGTCTCCGGTGCATAGCACAGTATGGACCAAGCGCACCATCCGTGTCAGCAGGCCACGTCAGTGGTTCACCATAGGTAGCCACTTAGATACCACCACCTATCACCACGTGTGCGCCATGCCAGTGACCGCGCTGACTGCGCGGACATTTTGCTAAAGAGGCCCTAGATTTTTCAGAAATCAACCCGCTGTCCTGAGTAGTTCAAAAGTAATTCAAAATATGCCCCTAGTTTTTATGTTTTGACCCCTGTGTTTTCCTAAAAACGACGCCCGATACACAAGGCTGTTTTAATTATTTTTAATACGAAATTGATTTCAAAATATTTACAAAATTGCCATTGATCTTATTTTATGCGCAATTTCTCCATTTTAACTACGATTTGACCCGTTCAAGTTGCGTTAGATTCATAACGACATAATCTACGCATTAGTATCAATGTATCCCATGTCAAGAGCTCTACGCCTAACTTGAATAATGATTATGCAATTGGATTTTTCTAATTAAAAGTAACTTAGGCTTTTCACCTTGGTCAATTATATGATTAGTTTTACTTTATTTTTCTAAATCAAGTATAATTTGACTTAACTCAATTAAGGTATTTCTCTGAAATATCTTATACATGTTTTATATAGCTAAAATAAATAGAGCATAAAGTTTCTTTTCGAAGCAAATCTATCGGTAGATGTATCTTTTTCATCGTAGCTCTGATTAGAGTGCTTTTCACGTCTGTGTGTTCGTAATAATGTGTAGACCATCTTTAAAATCTTTTTACTTGCTGATTATTATGTTTGGTGTACTGTTCTAATTTAGATCTATTATTTGCTTCGTGTATGATTGCATGGATGTTTGTGTGGTGCTTTATGATAATGTCTACTCGGTGAGCTTCACATGTTGATCATGGAGTTCCATTGAAGGTTTGGACTAGAAGAAGGATCTAAGTCTAAGGCAAGTATAGCATGAGATCTTTCTTGTTGTCCTATACACCTTTAATCATTTAATTCATATTGTATATGTCTACCTTGACTGCCACTAAGGATTTCCCAGTACTTTGTTACCCTGTACCTTGATTCCTATGGGTTATTGCATTGGGTAGTATGATGCTAGTTGTCGGTGTTTTGAGTAAACACCAACGAGTAAATTTGTGTTATTGCGTGTCTGGCCCAGATGATATGCTAAAAAGACACAATGTTTATATTGGTTCGGGCAGAATGTCCCTACGTCCAGTTCGTGGCTGCTGCTCGTGTTATTAGCACTGAAAAGTTTGTAGTAGGGGTTACAAACGGGCGAGAGAGGGACAGGTCCCAAGTCTCTGATGGAAAGATCGAATGGGTGCCGAGAGCTAGGTCGCTACTCAACTATGTGTTCGAGGTTCGATGCTAGTGTTTCTGCTGTGATGTGGTGTGATGTGCGATGCGGTGAATCGATCCCCTTAGTGGGGTGCCCTGCTCTCCCTTTTACAGGCCAAGGGAGAGCATGGATTATAGATGGGAGAAGAAAGGAAATTGAGAGGCAAAGGAAGTCCTTCAAGGACGCTGGGTCTTTGTTTTCCTCTGTGCGGGTCCTGCTGACATGGCAGACGGTGAAAGGGACAGCCCCACGTTGGTCGCATGTCCACTGACCCTGACAGGACCACGCTGGGCGTCTATCTGCTGACGACGCCAAGTCCTGGCATTGTCAGCGGGTTGTCATGTCCCATCCTGCCCCGGCGGGCGGCGTAACGGACTAGCGTGCTTATCAGCGGCCATACAGGGAGCAGGCAGCACGTGTGACGTACGTCCATTACTGTGGGTGATGCGAGTTTCCTTCTAGACTGTAGTGGTTGTCATGGGCTTTCGTAAGGATCCATGCCCGAGGATAAATGACGGTGCCCACAACACTGTAAGGCAAATGTCGACGCCTACAACACTGTTTCAGCTCTGACATGCCTGGAAGGTTGCAAAGCACCCTTCTGGCATGGCCTGACGGTACTCTCCTATAGGCATGCAGGGTACGGTCCTTGGTATTGTGGTTGACTTGAGCGTCTTGCCTTATCTGCTCCGCCTGATTCCTAGGTCGGTATTGTGGTAATGTCGTCATAGGCGTCGGTCGGGCCTCAGACGTCGGGCGAGGTGGAGCCAGCCCTCAGACGTCGGGTGAGGCAGAGCTAGCCCTCAGACGTCGGGCAAGGTGGAGTCCGCCGTCAGACATTGGGTAAGGCAGAGCCAGCCCTCAGACGTCGGGTGAGGCAGAGCCAGCCCTCAGACACCGGGCGAGGCGGAGCCAGCCCTCAAGCATCGGGCGAGGTGGAGTCCGCCCTCAGACGTTGGGTGAGGCGGAGCAAGCCCTTGGGGGTCGGGCGAGACAGAGTCTGCCCTCAGACGTCAGGCGAGGCGGAGCCAGCCCTCAGACGCCGGGCGAGGCGGAGCCTGGCAAGCGGCGTAGTCACATTCTTGTCGCGCGGATGAATCAATGTTGATGATCATTAGCTTCTCCTCTTTGGGTACCCTAGTATTGGTCCTCGATAGTAGCCCCCGAGCCCCCGGGCGATTCGAGTAGAATCGCTTGGGGGATTTTTTTACTTGCCAACAGGTGGCGCATCTGGTGGGTGTAGCCCCCGAATCTGTGGAGGAGTAGAATACTCCTTCAGAGGTTTTTTCGAAAGAGAGGACTCTGAGGGCCCTTGCCCTCTATTGTTGCCCACGGCGTGTCCTAAAGACGATGATTCCTTCCTATCGAGGTTAGACCCTTCGCGGGTATGGTCACAAGATTTGGTGGTTTGTTATCTGGATAATTTGGTTGGGGTCCTGGCATCCCGTTCGTGGGGATCCGGCCAGGGTCAGCCTGGCTAAGACTCAATCGTGGGCCAAGATGCCCGTGGTGCTCGTGCGCCTAGGTGCTGGCCGCTTGCGGGACCCATCCCTTTCCAACCCTTATTGTAGGGGTGCTTGGAGCGGCTGTTGGACCCGTTGATGGGCCAACCATCGAACTCCTAGGCCCATACGGGCCTTAGA